ACAAATGGAATGTTTTTTTGATGACACACAGGTGATAAGGGAATTGGTATTTTTAAGGGCTTATCTTTCAGTGTGATATGATCTTGACAAACTAGAAAAAGAATATATAATCAAAGTTATTTCTTAAACACAACAATGAATAGTGTAATTACAGAACAAATAACAAATACAAAGTAGAGTATTAATAGAAAGATACTGATGAGGCCCAAAGGATGTAGACCTTTTAGCCAATAAAAACCCAAGTTCTCCCTAAAGTTTTTTTTTTTTTTTTAAGTTAGCTGTGCTGGTTGGGATGACCAGCTGGTTGGAATGATGGTTCATTCATTCATTCATTCATTCATTCATTCATTCAATAATTTACCCAACTACCTATTATGTATAAAGTGTCCAGTGGGGGTATTTTGGGCATAGAAGAAGTTAGTGATGTCTCTTTCCCAGAAGAGTTCTAACACTGAAGTGAGAAGACAAAGAAGTATACAAATTATTTCATTACACAGAGGAGACTTACGCCACAGCTGAGTCATCAGTCAGTGAGGATAGTGACCATGAAGGACATCTTTGTAGCCCACCGGGACAGCTGTGTTCAACCAGTGGCAGAGGGCCAGCACTCAAGAACAGCTGGGTAGAAGTATCAACATGGAGGGTTCAATTTCAGAGACTACTCACCCTTAATGTACCAGGCTCATGTGAGCACCTGGGTTCTTGTAGAATACTACCAAGGGAAGGAAATTTCCCCTTAGTGCTCAGTTTCAACCTTGCCAAGTAGGGGTCTCACCCACATTTAGTTTCCTTTAAGATAACATTTCTCATACTAAGTGTCATGGATCATCAAATCAAAATTCTGGGCTGGGGAAATGACTGAGTGGATAAAGTACATGTCATGCAAGTGTAAAGACTAGAGTTTGAATCCCTAGAACCCACTTAAAGCTGCATGTGCATCTGTAATGACAAGTGGAGACACGAGAATTCCTATAACCCATGTGTCAGCTAGCCTGGTATGCAGAAATGAACAATAAGAGACCCTGCCACAATAAAGATGGAAGACAAGGACTGACACTTGAGGTTGTCCTCTGACCTCCACATGCACACTATAGCATGTACTGCTCCCAAAATACACACAAATATGCACACACATACACAATATACATATAGACATGTTGAAACAAATTCTTTTTGCTTTTGATTTTTCAAGACAAGGTTTGTCCTGGAATTCACTCTGTAGACCAGGCTGGCCTCTAACTCAGAGATCCACCTGTCTTTGCCTCCCGAGTACTGGGATTAAAGGTGTGCACTTCACCACTGCCAGGCTCAAAACAAATTCTTAATTTATACTGAAGTTTTTCACAGAGAATACAGTGTCTCTCAAGAATGTCATAGTTGTTTTTAGTGGAGAGATAGTAATACCCTTGAATGTGTACAACATGGCAATCTCTTTTACTATCATGAGCAAAGTCAGCTGGCCAGGAATAAAAGCATGCAAAGAACAAAGTCAAGCTCTCATCAAAATCAGACCCAACCTCACGCCAAACCCCATTCCAGTATCATTATCTGCTTCATCAGAAAATCCACAAGGAAGAACTCAGACTGGCCAGGACTGGATCAGGTGCCTTTGTTGTGGCTAGAAGATTCAGTACTGTGATTCAGTCACCAGTGGGGGAAGAACTTTCTAGAGTCAGGAGGAGAGACTGTTTGGGTCATGAAATAAATATACACAGGGCAAACTCCGGAGATGTCTGTATTCAGTTTTCATTTACAATATTTATAGTACAGAAGGCTTTAGCCTATATTTTCTTAGTCAAGTTGAATGTGCTGATCCATGCACATGATGATGAGTTTGAGCAAATGGCAAAAAGAATGGATGTAGTTGTTTTCCTTGGATCACTATCATGTGACATTTTAGAAAAGAATATCATCAAATTGAAAACTAATCAACAAGGAATCTGTTGCCTGCTGTACCCTAACTCTATAAATACTTAGAATGAGACTTTTGAGCAAACTGCTTAGAATCAGTGGTACCCCATTACTATCTCCGTGGATCTGGTCTCTAATATACAAAACCTGAGGATTAATAATGCATAATGAAGGGACACTCTTAGATTTAGGGTAAGTCAATATATCAGAATGCCTGAATAGTTCACCACTGTGTACACATGTAGGACTATAAAGTCCCAATATTTTACATAGTTGGTAGTAGAAAAAAGCTGAATAACTGAAAATATGACAGAATTATAAAGTTCCCACTAATTAACAAAATTCCCCTAAGGAAATTTAGGGAATTTAAATGTCTTAACTCTCACTTCTCTCATGAACTTAGTTAAAAAGAATGACAATGGCTGACATAGCCTACTATGTCAAAAGTTATTGGAACCAACGTTATTTCCTGAAAGATTTTTTTTTAATATGTATGGGTGTTTTGGCTACATGTATGTCTGTGCATGGTGGCACATGTGTGCAATGCCCACAGAGGCCAGAAGAGACTGTGAGCCATCACATGGGTACTGAGAGCTCAGCCAGGGTCCTCTTACAGCGGCTAGTGTTCTTAACCACTGAGTCATCTTTCTGGCTCCCCTCCAAAGTATTTCAGTAGATATGAATTCTTAAAAAGAAAGGAGAGGGCCAGTAAGGTGGCTCAGCATGCAAGTATGATGACCTGAGTTTGATCCCATGAGGGTAAGTAAACATGGAAAGATTGATTCCAACTACACATCCCCCCCCCACTTTGGTCTCTACACATAGGCCATGACACAAGCTCCACTTCCTAATAATAATAATAATAATAATAATAATAATAATAATAATAATAATTTAAATAAAATAGAGAAATTAAGACGATTCCAGTGGTTTTTGAAGATTTCCTTCCTTCTATTCCATGATTGAGGACCAAGGAATGGAATTGAGCCACCCACAATTGTTCAGATCCTGGATGAAGCCAAGTTCAGAGGCATGCTTCAGAACTTGGTTTGGACAAGAAGCTCAGACTTTGCTAGAGGGAAGGATTCCTCTTCCAAAGGAAGTTCAGTTTTTCCTCAGAACCATGACTGTGAGGGCAGTTTTGACCTAAGGTATACTCTAGACACTAGATATTAAGTTAGCAGAAGCAGCTGCTTCCCTCTTTTACTGTGTGATCAACAAGTGTGAGTTAATGATGCCTTTCATCCTCTCTCCATCAAAGCAAAGGCCAATATTAGGGCCAACTAAATTTTCTGCTACAATAGGACCAGACATGCAACATCATTGACATTGTACATGGAATCATAGGCATCCAACATACATCTTAGAAAAGTTTGCTGACTTGTTCAATTAACTGTCCAAGTTATTTTTTTTCTTCCTTTCTCTTGCACTAATGATTAAGTCCACTGCTTCCTGTAACAACTTCTGCTTAGAAGTTATTTCCTTGCCTCTAAGGTATTTGTCCTAATGGTTCTCATGTAGTTCAGTGTCCAGCAGGGCCCTCCTAATTATCTTAAAAATTATTGAGGAATCCGCCAGGCGTTGGTGGCACACACCTTTAATCCCAGCACAGAGGCAGATGGATGTCTGTGAGTTTGAGGCCAGCCTGGTCTACAGAGCTAGTTCCAGGACAGGCTCCAAAGCTACACAGAGAAACCCTGTCTCAAAAACAAAAAAATATTGAGGAATCCACAGAACTTTTGCTCTCTCTCTCTCTCTCTCTCTCTCTCTCTCTCTCTCTCTCTCTCTCTCTCTCTGTGTGTGTGTGTGTGTGTGTGTGGTGGGGCTGTGTTAGCTGTTGGTATTTGACATTTTAAATTAAAATTGGAAACGAAGCATCGATGAGATAGAGACTTCTGACAAGATAAATCTCCTGGCTCCCTTAACTACTCCTCCTTCCACATGACCTGGACAGTACAGCCTTTTCTCATAGGAGCTTCATCTGTCTGGATTTTTGCCACTTGCAGATAAAAGAGCACTGAACAATAAAGAACTAGTCTAGGGTAATAAATAATGAAGGTTTGAATTGAACACATCAAAGTGCTGTTTCCTCCATTCCTTTTGACACCCATTAATTGCAAGCCTCCCAAGGAGTGATAAATTTAAACACAGCCAACACCTACACTTCACAGCACCTTACAAGTTTCAAAGTGCTTTCACATTCAGTATTTAATTTTCACTACAACCCTATGAAGTAGTTTGTTTTACATCCGTTTTATAGATGAGAAAATTGAGATGTGCCAAGCCTGTGAGACTTCACATAGCAGTGAAATAAATGGCTTAGCCAAGACTAAATCCAAATCTTGTTCTCTACATCTCCATGGCCAAAGTTCCTGTTTTAGGTGATGATATTTTACATGAACTGTAGCACAAGCCTTCCCACATTTTTCTAGTTCTTTAAAAACAAAAACAAAACAAAACAAAACAAAAGAACCCAAACCAAACCAAAAAATGCATCCTCCTTCAGCTAGCGGGGCGCTGTCTGTGAAGCAGATCTTCTGAAATGATCATCGTATTTTAGCTGTGGCCTGTTGTAGTTCAGGGACACAAGTGGGGATGGAGATAGTCGGGTAATTCACTCTTTGGGCTCTATGATTGAATGGCTGTGGAACGGGACCTAGGAGCAGGGCAAGTGCTGGAGAAGCTGGATAATACTATACAGACTTCGAGGACCACAGCGTCTCTAAGGTACCGGTAAGTAGATGCATGAACTGCGGGACTCAGATTCCGAAGTCTTGGATTTGAAAAGTGCCCACAAAGAAATAACGAAGTCAAGTGCCCATGGCTAGAGGAGTTTGAAACGAAGTGTTTTTTTCCCCAATATGGGTGGAAACTACTAGCTCACCGTCCCATATCACTCATATTTGTTATCCTCCGAGGTTGCTTGGACAGCCCCGCTCAGGCACGCCCGAGGCTCTCCCTCAAGTACTACAAATCCCATAAGGCCTCGCGGCGCGGAAGGGGCTGACAAAACGCCGGCGGATTGGCCGGTGCAGGGCGGGGCGCGTTGAGCGCATCCAGGGGGAGTGGCTAGGGGCGTGGCGTGGCGCGGGAGGCTCGGCGGACACGCCCCCTCGCCCGAGGCCCCCTCCGCGCCTCTTTCCACCGCCTCCTTGCTCTCCGCGGTCAGAGAGGGCCGGAGCGAGAAGATGGCGAAGACCTACGATTATCTGTTCAAGCTGCTGCTCATCGGCGACTCCGGCGTCGGCAAGACCTGCCTCCTGTTCCGCTTCTCAGAGGACGCCTTCAACACCACCTTCATCTCCACCATCGGTGAGGGAGCGGCCACGGCCCGGGACGGGAGCTGAGACGCGGGGGGCGGATGCCCAGGGGCCTGGGAGAGGGCACGCGAGGGCTTGGCGCCCCGGGAGGGAAACCCTGGGGGCCGCCGAGAGGGCAGTGCGAGCCGGCAGGAATAGGGCGAGAGGGGCGGACGGGGACGCGGGGCTGCCGACGGAGGAAAGGGAACCGGAGCAATCGGGAACCGGAGATGTTGGAGACACGAGGGGGCTCCCGGGCTGCGGCGGAGGGGGTCCCAGAGGGACAGAGTCGAGGGGAACACAGGAAATTGTACGGAAAGAGAGAAGGTGGGGAGAGTGGATACGAACATGAATTAGAAAGACAGGAAAGAGGAAGGAAATGTGAAGGGGGCATGAAGAGTTGAGACTTAGGAGGGGCTTCAAATGAAGTAAAGGGACAGAGGACACCAGAGACAGAAGTGAGACTAGGCAGTCAGAAAGAAATTGAGGGGAATGAATGAATGTTCGGGAGACGAGGGATGAAGCGACATTGGCTATAAAGGTGTGCACAGAGATGCCAAGAGCAAATACAGAAGAAAATTGTAGATGGGAGAAGGGCTCGGGGGACCAGAGGGCAGCCTGAGGTTACTTGGTGGGGAAAGTAAAGGAGAGCTGGGTGTCAGCTAGAAAGGAGAAGGGGAAGCAGCGGATGTAGTGCAGGGGTTGAGCAGAGAAAAGAGAGGAAATGGAAAACGTGGGGTGCAGGACTTTCCCCAGGAACTGGGAGTGCAGGTTTCCATTTTCTCTTGACTTCTTCGAATCAAGATTTTAAAAAGTGACTAATGATGGAGTAATGTCTGTGGAGTGTTAAAATTTTCTGTATATTAAAAGGTATTAATGGGGGATGGCGATGTTTTAGGGATGATGTGGTCAGAAATATACCGTTCACCCCGTTACTCCGTGTCTTGGGAAGCACTGTGTTTCAACTTTTTAAATTCTCGAACTTGAGTATTTAGTAACGTCTAAGACACGTGATTGAGCACAAATTCCACCTGCCTCCCTGTATCGATTCCTTTGTTTCTAATTACTTTTTAGATGAATCACAACTATGTATTTACCAATTCTAATTGATTCAAGAAAAAAAAATTCCACTCTTCCCTGGAAGTTGTCCTTCTTACATTTGTAATAAAAGACATTGTGTGCAGGTAATAGGTCTTTAAGTCATAAACTGAAGAGCAAATCAAAACTGGTTTTAAATTTTCAGTAGAGTAACCTTAACATGATTTTCCTTGTTAAACAGCTGAAGTCAATTAAATACCCTAAGAATCAGCTTTTTGATGGCCTGGGTGATCTTTCCAGCCTCCAGTACTAGCTTATTTAGGCATTTTTCAAATGGTTTTCTGAGTGATCCACAAGCAATGGGAAACTAGTGTGCTGGTAATAAGTATGTTTTCATGGCTGAAAAGTTGTCTTTTATTTGTTGCTCTTCTAGAGGACCCAGGTTTTGTTCACAGCACCCACCTGCACCCCACAACTGCCTTTAATTCCAGTTCCATGGGATCCAACACCCTCTTCTGGCCTCTGTGGAGACCAGAAACTTACATGGTACACATACATTTGTGCAAGAAAAAACACTCATATACATGAATTAAAAACAAAACAATTATATATTTGTATGTTCTTTTACGTAGAAATATTCTTGGTTTCTTCTAATTTCTTTTGCACAGACTGAATGGAAATCTGGATGTTGTGATGTCTGGGCTTAAGGAAGTTTGAGTTGCAAGTTCTTGGCAGTTAGTCTTGAGTGGGACTTTTTTTTTCTGAGGAAGCAGATTTTAAATGTCATCTTGCATCTCGCAAGTGTATTTGTAAGAGTCTTGGTGGAACAGCTACGAAAGGACATTCGTTTTCGGTATCAATTCCAAAATCTCAAATAACTCTTATTTGGTGCTGAATCCATACTGCTGTGCTTATGATAAAGGACAACTTCTAACAAGTCGAGTGGGGAGGCCTTTGTTTATTCTATGTGTGCCTCTCTCAGAACTTTATTCCTGCCTTGAAAGCGAGTAAATCTGGGGCAAGAGAGATGGATCAGCAAGCAGTAAGTGCTTGCTGCTCTTCTAGAGGACCCAAGTTCAGTTCCCAGCATCTACATCAGAAGGTTCACAAATATCTATAGGCCTGTAACTCCAACTGCAGGGCAACTATGGTCTTCTGGCCTCTCTGGACACTGCACTCAGGTCTATAAATCTCAAACACAGGCGCACACACATATACATAAACATTTTTAAAGGAAAGAATAAAAAGAAAGTGAATAAATCTCACTGATTCAGTTTGTTGCATTTCTTGGGTTTTCCCTGGAATAGATTTACTAGTCCGTCCACACCCCCCTACACACAGGCGCTTTGCCCAACATTTCCCATAAGGATATTTACTAGCTTTTAACATAATATTTTTTTAAAATCATTTTTCTGGGCTAGGGGTTTAACTCAATGGTATAGTATAGTATATGCTCAATATGGATGAGGTACAGGACTTAATCTCTAGCCCTCCCCCCCTGTGTGTGTGTGTGAGAGAGAGAGAGACAGAGAGAGAGACAGAGATGAGAGACACAGGGAAGTGTATTACGTTTCACAGTGAAGGATTAGAATCTTTTTTGAGTGGATTATTTTTAATGACTAGAATGAACATATTTGGAGGGTTGCAGTTATTAAAACATTAAAGCTGGTGTCCTCTGATGGCTTAGATTAGGAGATGGATATTACATCGTGAATCTCATGGGAACTCTTGGTCTTTGTACTTTCTGTGTGGTGAATGTGCTGGAAAAGAAGCTTCAAGCTGTTCTTCAGTTGGTGTGGAGGAGGGGAAATCTCTTGCCTCTTAGCCTCAGAGCTCCAACAGGAAGTGGTAGTAGACAGCCAGAGAACTTACATACCTGAAACTAAAATGCTTCGCAATTATGCTTGAACCGTGAGGTGAAGTTCACACCAGTCTAGTAAAAACTTCCAGACTCCTCACTGACTACAAACACAGATTTGGAGTATTAACATTTCAGCAGTCATGTCTCTCTCTGCCAAGCCCCAAACTGCATCTCTAGGTGACCTGAAGTTGTTGAGGTGACAGTTGGTAACCCATCTTTTCCCACCATAATTTAAGTGTTCATTTGTATAAACTCCTAGGCATTTCTATGGCTGGGCTTGACAAGGTCTTCTTTAACACTGCTGACAGACTTGATAAGCACCATGCCCCAAGAAAGATCCCTTCTGAAGGCCTGAGGTTTGTGTGTGTGTGTGTGTGTGTGTGTGTGTGTGTGTGTGTGTGGCAGATATGTAGATATGTCCCGTGTCTGCTTTTTACTATGAAAATATACTTTCATTTTAATTGTGTCTTGCCAGTGTTTTAAGTTTTTTGTTTGTTTGTTTGTTTGTTTTTAAAGGGGATTCTGTCAACTGTAGATTGTGTGGATGGGGTTATTTCATTATGAAAGATGAGACAATCATTTCGATTCTAGGTACAATTGCCCCTTATCCTTTCTTTTCATTTTCTAAAGTTTGGCACTTTGAGTCCTTCTTTGAGTAGAGTTTTCTTTTATGTGACTTACTGGGAATCTTCTAGTCTGTCAGTCAGATAATACCTGGTAACCACAAATAAGGATGCAGTAGTCACTTGAGATTACAGGTGTAATGCCTCAGAACAACTAACTAATCATAATTAATGTTTAGGTAAAATACCTTTAAATATATTAAGACAGAAGTGGTGACACTATCCATATATATACATATGTATATATATATATATATGTGTGTGTGTGTGTGTGTGTGTGTGTGTGTGTGTGTGTGTATACACATATCCTGTAGGATGTGGGTGATTTTAGTATTGATATGAAGGCACCCTGACATCTTGAAATGGTCTTTATTGAACAAGGAGCTGATAGAACAGAGAGAACCCAACTCTCTGCCCTGTAATGGGGCTTTCTAAGCTGATCCCTTGGCTGTCTCTCCTCCTCCCTGCCCCCTTCTTCCTGTTAGGTATTTCCTGAGTGGTTTCATTATTTAGTATAGTCATTGTTTGGCATCAGAGAGAGTTGTAGAAATTACCTACTTTATGCCCTGTTCCAGCTTTACAAATGCAAACCCTCACCTTCAGCAGAACTGCTGGTGAAGATCCAAATCAAGTCTTTATCCTTTTCATCACTGCAGATGAGTGTGATCCTCTCTGTAAAGCCACATTTTCCAGACAGTAATTAGATTTTGTGTCTGTAGGAAGGTAAGGTGTTTCCACTTTGATTAGCATTCTGTTAAGGGAAATAGTCCTGACAGAGACTCTATATGAAGATAACAAAGGCACACAGCCTTTGCCCTTTCTTCCAGACCTGGAGTTTCAGGTCAAGAGATCATAGTGCACCCTGCCATTAACATTCTTTCCACGTGTGAAATAACTTAATGAAATCATTTTTATAGGCTCACACTGGTAATTGATGATGCTAAATGCCAGCAGAACATGGTTAGGCATTGTATTCTGTAACATTGTATTCTTGTCTTGGGTTCATTTGCCTTTGAGTCAGTTAATGCAGTGTAACCCATGGGCCAAATGGGGTTCTTGGTTTTCTATTTTGTTTTGTTTTACATTTTAAAATAAGTTATTAAAGATGAAAACAATGAGTGCAACAAGGACTATATGTGACCCACAAAGTTATTTACTGACTGGTCCTTTGTAGAACAAGTTGGTTGACCCTTGCTTAAAATGTAAAGCTGCTTTTGGTTGATCTCATTTCAAAACTCTTGTCAAGACTCATCGACTGAAAATCAAGTTGTCATATTTATATTTTTATCCAAGATGATATCAACATCTGGCTGAGCATAAGCAAATCCATAGAGGAAGTCGAGTTTCACTTTCATAGTTATTTTCCTTGCTTTCACCTTCTTTAGCTAAAATACCAAGGAACACGCAAGTTCAAATTGAACATTTTGTGCATAAAGCCTCCTTTTAATGTCATTACGTTCTTTCAGTGCTCTTAGTTAGTTAGGCTTCCCA